AAAAAAAAAAGGCAAAAAGAAGCTGGTAGCAGTAATGTACTTTAATGGTTATGGGGTTCATTGGGGATGTTAACAGACTATAGATCAGGTTGGCAACAGGATACAGTCTAGACAACTTCTCAAGAGTGGTCGTAGGCCCTTTGACCTTTAGCCTCACAGCTTAGGTCAGTGTTACAAAGTTCCCTTATTCCTGCCAGCTAAGGTGTCTTCGCTCAGCCCTCCAGCAAGCTTGGCAGATGGCCTATGCCTCTCATCCGTGGGGCAGCAGCCCCAAGTCAGCTCTGGATCATGTTGACTCTGATCCTCTGCAGAGGCAGCTGGCTTTTGATCTTTTGTGTAAAAATCCTGTCCCGGTGGCACAGGAATCTTTGGCCCAGAAGAACCTGCACTGCTAACCCCTTCCTTGTTGGTGTTGAGCTTCCCCAAAATTAATTTTGAGAATACACTTATTTAAGACATCTAAAATACTATCCTGTCAACATGTGGTCTAAAATGTTTCATTATTACTGAGGTGTTTTTCCATCTTTGTACTGCGTACAAAGGTGCTGCCTTTCAAGTGTTCAGTAGCCACGTGAGGCTTGTGCTGGCGGGCTGGACTAGGACAGCATAGCCAGGGGAGCTCACCTGATAGGGAAGATGCACCACCACTTTTCCCCAGTGGAGGAGGGATTGCAGAGAATGGATGCAAGCAATGAGAGAGCAGAAAATTCCTGAGCCTCGTACCAAAACATCCACCTCACTGGAACGCTATGAGACAAAGTAGGACTACCCATAGCATTTCCAAGGCCATAATCTTACTGGAAGGAAACTGGGCCATCTCTCTCCTGTGGAGCCACTGGCAGGTTCAAACCATGGACCTTTCAAGGCTTAACCCATTATGCCAATATATGCCAAACCTCTATAGTTATTTGACACAGCTATTGTAAACTGTGTTTTGACTTACAGAATCACGTGTATGTATTGTATACTACAGTGTTCTGTAAGTTTAATCTTATTTATGGTTAGGTATGAGTAAAAGAGTTCTGGTAGCCAGTTAGGTAAAGCATTTCAGTGCCAACCCAAAGGCAGGCAGTTCAACTCTACCAAGCATTCCATGGGAGAAAGATGGACAATCTTCTCCTGGGCTATTTTTGTTGTTGTTTTAATTTTATACTGATTTATTTACAAAGTGTGAATATATTCTTTTTCACAAAAGATCCTTCCCATTTCCTTCAACCCCCCCCATCAAACTGTGCAACTCTATGATTAACAATTCCACCCTCCACCCATCCTCACCCCTCTGCTTTCACCCTACCCCCCTCCCATGACTCTTCATTCTCATTCTACAGTAATGGTTTTATATAGTATTTGTCCTTGTTGGACTGAGTTCACTCAGTGTAATGCTCTCTAGTCCCTCCCAAGTTAGGTAGTAATTTACAAAATCATTGACTGATGATAGAGAAGATGTTGAGATTGTTAACAATTGCATCTTGCTCAAAATCCACAATCAACACTCTTGGCACCAGCAGTCAGGAAATCAAAAGACAAATTGTATTGGGAACTGAAATGGAAACTTGTACACCAATGTATATAGCAGTGTTATTCAGCATTGCAAGAACATGGAAACAGCCCAAATGTCCAAGCACAAACAAATGGTATGGGAAGTTATGGTACATTCATACAATGGAATGCTACACAGCACGCAGGAGCAATGATTTTGTAAATTACTTGCTGTGGTATTTATAACCTCTGTAACCATGCTGTGGGGGATCAGCTAAGAGTCAACTCTAACTCAACAACAGTGATAGGAAGTTTTCTATGATATCTAAGGAGCTCTGGTGGCATACTGAATAATAGGCAAATGGTCAGAGATTTGAACCCATTAGTCACTCCTCCAAAGAAAAATGGGCAGTCTCCTGCCATAAAGATTTATAGCCTCAGAAATCCAGTAGAGAGAGGGCCACGGTGAGTTAGTATTGACTGAGCAGCATTGGGTTTGGATTTTGGTGGGCATATGACATGGGAGTAGTAATTGAGTTGTAGGATTCTTTCATTCCATTTAGGAGGCCCGAATGTGCTGAACAGGTATAAGTGGAACTTCCAGACTGAAATGGACTCTATTGTTGTTAGGTGCCATCGGGTACAACTAATAGCGATCCTATGAACAATGTTTTCTGAAGCCTGACCTATCCTGTGCCATCCTCTCTGGCATACGTGAGCCCATTGCTGCAGTCACTGACAGACAAGTGATGGTTACACATGAGGTGAACTGGCTGGAAATTGAAGTTAGGTCTCACACGAAAGGAAAGAATCCTACAACTAGACTACCTCCACCCTCACATGTTGTTATATATTAGGTCTTCCTCGCTTTTGCTGACCTTTCCAAGCGTGATGTCCTTTTCTAAGGAATAGCCTTGTCTGAAGTGGAGAGACGAAACTTTGCCATCCTTGCCTCTAAGGAGCATTCTGGCTGCATTTTCTCCAAGACTTATCCCTTTGTTTTTTTAGCAGTCCTTGCATCATTTAGTACCCTTCTTCAACACCAGAATTCAAATGCATCACTTCTTCTGTCATTATTCATTGTTCAGCTCTCAGATGCATAACAAGTGACTGAAAAAAACATGGCCTGAATCAAGCTCACCTTAGTCCTCAAACTGACATCAGTGCTCCTTTGTATCTTGGAGAGTTTCCTGACTCCTGACAACACACTTTCCCAATACACTACATCTCCTGACTTCTGGTACCAAGGATGTGGATTGTGGATCCAAGTAAGATGAAATCATTGACAATTTCTTTTCCCCATCTATCATGAAGTTGCCTGTCAGCCCAGTGGTGAGGATTTTTGTTTCTTGATGTGGAGATGCAACCCGTCCTGAAGTCTGGAATCTTTGATCTTCTGCAGCAAGCATTTCAAATACTCCTTACTTTGATCAAACAAGGTTGTGTCATCTGCGTAATACAGGTTGTTGAGTCCTCCTCCAATCCTGATACCATATTCATCTTCATAGAGCTGCTGACTCTTGAATGATTTGTTTGGCATACAGATTGAATAAGTATGGAATAATATCTTTAATCCCACATGCAAGCAAAATATTACTGAAAATCACCCCAAAACAGCTATAATAATACAATGACAGAGAACTGCCAGAAATTCAAGTTGGGTTTAAATGATACCATTGCACCAGGGATATATTATAACTGATGTCACGTGGACCTTGAATGAAAGCAGAGAATACCGAAGCATGTCTATTTATGTATTATTGACCACACAGAAGCTTTTGACTGTGTGGATCATAAGAATTCATGGCTTACTTTAAGAAGAATGAATGAACACTTAATGATAGTCATAGGAAACCTATACCGAGACCAAGAAGCTGTTATCAAAACAGAGCAAAGTTTGCATGTGATTTAAAATCAAGAAAGTTGTGAGTCTGGACTGTACCCATTCTCCATACCTGCTCAGTCTGTATGCTGAGCAAATCATTTGAGAAGCTGAAAAGTGGACCCTTGTTGTTTTGTCCCTCTGAGTCAGAACTGACCCATTGCTGACCCTCCAGCAGGTTTTCAGAGGCAGTTAACCACACTGGAGAAGTCTACCCATCTTTCTCCCCCACAGCAGTAGATCCAAACCGCATGCCTTTAGTTTGGAAGCGCTGCTCCTTGCTACCAAGGCGCCAGAGCTCCCTAATGGACTGTTGTTGCCATCATGCCATCAAGTTGGAACCGACCCATAGCTGACTCTCCACTGGGTTTTCAGAGTCAATAAATCGTACAGGAGATTGCTCATCCTTCTCCCACAGAACAGCTGGTGGATTCAAACCATGTGCCTTTAGCATTGCAGCACAGCTTCTTACTACTAGGCCATGATGGGGGGGGGGCGCAGGGTAAAAAAAGAGTTGGCAGTCCACTTCCAAAAGCAATGAAAACTCTATCAATGAGAATGATCTCATTCTGTCATACATGGGGTCGCTTTAAATCAGGGGCAACTAACAGCAACAAAAACCTAAGACATTGTTGATTTAAGATTCAGAATCTTTATCACCACATTATACCAGCCCTCTCCCATGAAAAAAAAATTTAAAGTTTGTTATTCACTGAAAACTCGAAGGCACACAATTCAAATCCACCAGCTGCTGTGGGATGGGAGTGGAGGGTGGGGGAACAGACAGTCTCCTCCAGTGCAGTTTACCACCTCTGAAAACCCACTGGAGGGTCAGCTATGGGTCAGGTCCAACTTGATAATTTACAACTACAGCAACTAATACTCTGTGTGTGTAAGTATATTGTCAAGGAAAATTGTCTTAATGTTTTGCTCAAGTGATCAGAATAACATGAATCTTGCAAAGATAATGTATGTAGAACATGAAAACTTAGGCTAACTGGCATAGAAACATTAATAATTACTACTTACAAAATATGTTTCTGTTATGATTTTATAAGGGCAGTTGTAGTATTGCAACTAGCAGTGCTTGCCATTGTTTTGGTTTTTAACATAAATGTTGAATTACAGGGCAGAATATCATCGTCATAGTTGCTGGAGCAAATATGCTTTTGAATACTGAGGACCTGAGGGCAGCAGCCAATGTCATTAGCAGAGCCAAAGTCATGGTCTGCCAGCTAGAAATAACTCCAGCCACTTCTCTGGAAGCCTTGACAATGGCCCGCAGCAATGGAGGTAATTTTACATATTTGTCATTCTTTCTGTGAAAGCTTTTATCTTTGTCTTACTAAAGCTAACCTTTTAAGTTTGACAAATCAACCCTTTTTTTCCCCATAGTAAAATAATCTTTCTTTTGTCTTTGTCATTCACTGCCTTACAGACCTTGATAATGTTAGAAAATAAGAAAGGCATTTCTTAACATCCTCAATACACATCTTCAGTCTAGTGAGAAGAATTAATACAAGTTGTGACTAGAATCCCTGAGGAGTAGCTTGACCGGGAGACTCTCCAGGTGGTGACTCTTGACTGGCAGACATTGAGTTGCATGTCACGTGTGGTCATTGCACAGTTAACATGCTTACCAGCATTAAAGCTTAGTTACTCTTTTTTGGTAAAGCTTCATCATGCCTTCTATAAAGAACACATGAACGTCATCTTTTCTATGTTGTCTATTCATCATGGTTGGACTTTTGTGCAAACTTTTACAAACACAAGTGGAGATACATGAAGAGGCCAGATTAGCAATCGCCCACCTTCAAACGTTACTAAGTGAAGAGTCTTTTTAAATTTTATTTTATTATTTTGTGTGTGTGTACTGTCAAATCAGATCTGACTGGTCCAGGAGATTGTCCCTCCTTCTCCAGTAGAGAATCTGGTGTATTCAAACCGCACACCTCTGGGATTGCAGTGCGGCTTCTTTCCACTAAGCCACCAGAACTCCTTAACCAAGCAGAGTCTTGAGTCATTTGCTCTCCCACTCATTCGCCTTCTCTCAACTGCAGCAAATAACAGGCTTTTTTTTTTATGGTGAGAAAAATTTATATTTAGAATTAGCCCGCTGGACTCAGTTTAGATGATCCCAGTTTTGTTGGCAACATCCAAAGCATCATGGTCAGGAACAAGTCGAACATAGGCCTTCTTCTCTCCATCAGGCCTATGTTGACCTTAGCGACATCAATGTCATAGAGCTTCTTTACAGCTTGTTTAATTTAGTGCTTGTTGGCCTTGACATCCACAATGATCACAAGTGTGTTGTTATCTTCTATCTTCTTCATAGCTGACTCCGTCCGTGGTCAGGGGAAATTTGATGATGGCATAGTGGTCAAGCTTGTTTCTCCTGGGGATGCTCTTCCAGGGGTATTTGGGCTGCCGTCGGAGTCTCAGTGTCTTAGGCCGCCGGAAGGTGGGTGATGTGCGGATCTTCTCTTTTTTTTTGCCTGTGAATGCCCTTCAGGACTGCCTTCTTGGCCTTTAATGCCTTTGCTTTGGCTTCAGTTTTGGGAGGGGCAGGGGCTTCCTTCTTTGCTTTCGGCGCCATCTTTGAAAAAGAAATAACAGGTTTTTTAAACAAATTCAGGTAGTTCATTGCCCAATCTTACAGCATCTTCATGATTATTGGCATATTTCAAACCATTGTTGCAAACACTGTGTTTTCCAAGCAGCTTCCAGGCCAGGGGGCTTATCTTTCAGTGCTATAATGGACAATATTCTGATGTGAGCCACAGCATTTTCATTGGATCATTTTTGAAAGGAGAGTGCCAGGCCTTTCCTTCTACTCTTTTAGTCTGGAAGCTCGTCTGAAACCTGTCCACCATGGGTGTCCCTGGTGGTGTTTGAAATACCTGCAAAACTGCTTCCAGTATTACAGCAGCATGCAATCCACCACATAAAACAAGCTCACAAGTGAGTGGTGAGATTGGAAGTTTAACCAACAAATATTATGGTTGTATGTTATCAAATCAGAACCAACCCATAGGTGACCATCTGGTAGTTTCCAGAGGCAGTTAATTGCACTGGAGGAGATTGCCCATCCTTCTCCCATGGAGGAGCTGGTGGCCTTGAACTGAGTGCCTTCAGGATTACAGTGAAGCTTCTTGCCATTAGGCCACTAGAGCTCCCTAGGCTTGAAAAGTAAAATGTGGTCTTAACATCCCTAAAAAATACCACCAAAACAAAAAACCCCTACACACACACACACACACACACACACACACACACAAGGGTCCTGATTCTTTTCTCTTTCTCTCTCTTACCGCCCCCCCCTTATTTCCACCAGGCACCATGGGAAAGCACCTTCTAAAATAAAATCTCATTTCTGCCCTAACTTGTTAGCTTTGTGATCTGGGCAGAATGAGCTGATCTTGCTGAACCTTGTCTGTAAAATGCATGCATGAATACACCTTCCCTACAGAATTGTCTGAAGGATAGACTAAAATAAAATATGATACCAAGCGTAATACATCAGCAAAACTCCATTTTCTTCTGTCCTTTCCACTCCTTTCATTTTAAAACTAGGATCATATACAGGTCTCAGCACCATTTGGTAAAACAATAAATAAAAAGTGGCTACTCTGGAGAGAGATAAGCGAAGGACCAAATTCACAAACAAATCTGTTTTAGTGGTCTGATGGAGCCTGGTGGAACCCCAGAGACTAGAGCCCTTTTCCACCTTTTGAGCCTAGAACTGAACTCACTGGTCTGGCACAACTTGCCAAAGAGTAGACAGAGAGGTAAGGAGAACAGCACCAGTGAGGAGCTCAGCCCTTAAAACAATCCAGGCCGTAAGGGCAGCATTTGTCCAGGGTGAGAGCTCCAGAGGCAGGAACGGAGGAGAGGTTAGGGGAAGAGTGGAAGAATGCTGACACAAGGTGGGAATGGAATCAGAGCCCTGAAACAAAATTAAAGAGTGGTTAACATAACACCAGTCTACTCTGCAAACTTTCACTCTAGTCATGATAAAAAGTTTTTTTTTAAAAAAAAAAAATAATAATACCAACAATAAGGCAATGGAAACTTCTTGAAACTGTAGAAATAGTTCTGAGATTTCTATTCATAAAATAGAGAGAACTGCATTAATTTTTCCTGTTAAATTCTCCTCAAGCTACAAGCCCAAAAAACTGAGAAGGAAAAGAACAGTAAAGTGTCTGTGTGCATGTGTAAGTGATTTCTTCCAGAGTTTATAGAAGTTTATACAGCAATAAATAGAAGAGAAGTTACCGAAATGATTTAGTGGGAAATTTTGAAATGTATGTCCTGATTTAACAAAATTTCCTCTTGGCAAATCAGCATGCTGTGGCAAATTCTCACTGACATTTAATGTATTTTTAATGGACTCGAAGCTGTCAAAAAGAATTGTGAGCCAAGCCCATTTGGCTGCATGTTCTCAGGGTGTCACAGATAAAGTCTAGTGCTTATGGTAAGATCCTGTGCGCTGCACACATCCTCGTCAGATGATGTAACTGCAGAGTGCCAGTGCCTCCATGCTCCTGTCTTCCCTTGTATACTTCAAAGCATATTCTCACGTAACCTCTTTTTTGCTTCCTCCCCAAATTACTGAGGAGTAATGATGTCTGTTTGAGGACTAAGGTGTGTCTGATTCAGGCCATAGCCTTTCCAGTCACTTGCTATGCATCTGAGAGCTGGACAGTGAATAAGAATGACAGAAAAATAATTGATGCCCTAGAACTGTGGGGTTGGAGAAGAGCACTGAATATCCTATAGACGGCCAGGAGAACAGTTACATCTCAGGGTGCAGCCAGAGTGCTCTTTGGAGGCAAGAATGATGAGGCTTCACCTCACATACTTTGGATATGCTTCTAAGAGGTGCTATTCCTTGGAGTAGGACATGATGATGGGAAAGGTTGAGGATCAGCAAAAGAGAGGAAGACCCTTGACCAAGTGGATCAACTGCTGCAATGGGGTGTTCTGTATCAGGAAGTGTGAAGATGGCACAGGATAGAAGAGGGTTCAGATCTCTTGTCCATAGTGTCTCTGTAAGTCATGCTCAACTCGACGGCACCTAACAACAACTGTCCTTGCTTCTCGGGTATGCCTGTTTCTTCTATCCTAGTCCTGAGGATCACTCATTTCACAGGTGAGTAACTGAGGTGGGTGAGCAACTTGCCCTGGAGCTGTCATGTGGAGAGGACACAGAAATAGTCCCTGCGTTACCTGCCGGAAGCTCCTTTACCTGAAGAAGGGAGTGGATGGAGTAGATGATCGTGGGCCGTAGATTACTGCTGGCCTGCTTCTCGTTCTTATTAAGGAGCGGCATGCATAAGTAAGAATTCTGCATGATCGTTTTGTAATGTTGGAAGTTATATATTTTTTGTATCTGGGTGTACTCTCCAGCTTAAAGGCACTTTTAATATGCATTTGGTCCTGAGAAAAACTTTATGACAAAGATACGGCAGTTCTCATTCTCCCTGATGGAAAGGACCAAGACTGGCAGTAAGAGAAGTCATTTTCTCACCTTTGGTGATTATTTTAACAAATGTGTAAGTCAGGGTTTCAGAGTCTTAAGATCCATGTTGTGTCTTCCAGTCTACATGCTTAAAAGCACCTACCACGGTGCAGAGTAGTATGGCATCGAGGAGAATGGAGACCAAACCTGTGATAACCTGTCTCAAAACCCTCCTTATCATCTACTCCTTCGTCTTCTGGATCACTGGGGTGATCCTGCTGGCCGTTGGAGTCTGGGGCAAACTCACTCTTGGCACCTATATCTCCCTCATTGCCGAGAACTCCACCAATGCCCCCTACGTGCTCATCGGAACCAGTACCACTATTGTCATTTTTGGCCTGTTTGGATGCTTTGCCACTTGCCACGGCAGCCCATGGATGCTGAAACTGTATGCCATGTTTTTGTCCCTGGTGTTCCTGGCTGAGCTCGTGGCTGGCATTTCAGGGTTTGTGTTTCATCATGAGATCAAGGACACCTTCCTGAGGACTTACACGGATGCCATGCAGAATTACAATGGAAATGACGAACAGAGCCGGGCAGTGGATCACGTGCAGCGTAGTCTGAGCTGCTGTGGCATGCAGAACTACACCAACTGGAGCACCAGCCCCTACTTCCTGGATCATGGCATCCCCCCTAGTTGCTGCATGAACGACACTGACTGTAACCCCCAGGATCTACACAATCTGACTGTGGCTGCCACCAAAGTTAACCAGAAGGGTTGTTAGGATCTGGTGACCAGCTTCATGGGGACTAACATGGGAATCATCGCTGG